AGAATTTTCAAAGAGTCTCACCGATCGTGCTTACACATGGTATACGACATTGGCACTAGGCTTTATACACTCTTGGGAAAGCTTGGCAAGCAGGTTTTGTAAGAAGTATTTCTAGCATAAAGAGCGAGTCACCACCACTCAACTCAACAACACTCGTCAAAAGCATGGTGAGGATCCCGTGGACTTTGTGAGTAGGTTCCGGGACCTGGCATTGGATTGCTACAATGAGAAAGATGAGGAGGCGCTTGTTGAAATCTGCATAAGCAATATCGTGGCAGATTATAGAGTGTATTTGGAGAATATTGGCATTAGTCAATTTTCTCGACTGCTGGAAGCTGTGAGGAAGACAAGCATGTCTGTCAAGCCAACAGGACAAAGGACTTGGAGGAATGAGAAGAAGGAAGCGCATCAGACATTAGAAATAGATGACAAGCCATCCAACGACTACAATTCACGCAAACGGAAGGATAAGGAGACGTATCCACCACTACCATGCAAAGATGAAGAATTTCATGCTATTCTTGACACAATGATTGCTGATGGCGTAATCAAGCCTGTCAGACCCCACAAAATTCCTACCCGAGAGGAAAAGAATGATCCTAGGTATTGCCGTTATCATCAATTTGTGGGGCATCCAACTATTGCCTGTCAGAGTCTGAGGAGGATTTTACATGCCAAGATACATGATGGAGTCCTTGAACTTCCCTCTAGGAAGCAAACAATTGATGAAGACCCCTTGCCAAAACGAAGGGGAAAGGAGGTTGCTGCTGTCATTACATGTTCCAATGATTTGCTCGATGATGATGAATTGTGCCACCCTTGGAGGAATGACCCAAAGCCGCCGGAAGCTATATGGGAACCTTGCGAAAACATGGAGAAGGTATATTGGTGTAAATATTCGAGGCCTTCAAGTTACAACACACCTTGGCCGCTCGCTAATGAATGGGGTAACAACTCAGGCAGCAAAGTTTTTGTTTTAGACATGCCGGAAGAATGCTACTCGGGGGCTTTATTGGGGCAGCAGGAAGCAGCTACTGTGACATTTCATAATCTCACGGAAGCTGAAACAAGCGTGATGGAACGTTATTTAAGTCTGAAACAGGGGCCCACAGCTTCACATGTCCTTCAAAGAAACCCGAAGTTCAAATCACTCTTTGACCAACTTGGCTTCGGGCCTCAAGCAAGAGAAGCAGCTGTTGTAGCTCTGATGAATATCTCTGCGGAGTCTAACTCTCATTGCTTTACCGCTCAACCACAAAGGTCATTTTTGGGAAATGACAATGCTATTATTTTTACGGACGAAGACATGGAAGTTTCATACCTAGACCATAGGAGGCCGCTTTATTTGGAGGGACAAATCAATGATGTGTTCATAAGGAGAGCTTTGGTAGACACGGGTTCCTCTGTCAACATATTACCTCTGTCTGTGCTTACGGCAGCTAGTATCCCATTATCCAAAATTGTCCAATCACAAACGAACATCAGCGGTTTCGGGAATAAGAGTGAGGTCACAGTCGGGCATGTGCAAGTAAATTTGAAGGTTGGGCCAATTCAGTCACTTACTAAGTTCTATGTCGTAGATGTGGATGTGGCTTACCATACTTTGCTCAGAAGGCCATGGTTCAACAAGCATAAACTTGTGGTCTCTACCTATCATCAATGCGTAAAAGGAAGGATTGGGCTGAGGCCACTACGCATACCTGGGAATCAAGCACCGTTCAACACGGATGAAGCTCACTATTCCGAGGCAGAATTCTACACTGAATGCACAGGTGCTGGAAGCAACCCATCTAAGGATTTCAGGACCTACCTTCCTTCATGGACTGAAATTTATGATTTAAACAATGAGGAGCTCATCACCATTGTCGATCAAGAGAGAAAGAGGCACTCGGAAGTCAACAACCATGCCTATGATCATCCCCAATGCTCAAAGGTGACGTTGCCCGATGGACGTACCGTGTACCGCTTATGACGGGGTTGGGGGCCTGACCGTGTCTTATGGGAAAGCCCCGAGTATGGAGGGGAAGTAATGCAAACAAATAGCTGTGGGAATTCCAATGACAAGGCACCCATGCCTTGTGTTTTCCAAGAACCAACGACAGCACCCAGGCACATGCACGATGGATTAGCAGCGGTAGCTGAGCAGCTGGAAACAATTGATTTGAGTGAGGATCCCTCTGCCCCAAGGCCCATCTCCATCAGCGTTCATTTAACAAATAAAGAGAAGGAGGCCATGGTATCTTTGCTGAAGGAATTCCGAGATGTGTTCGCTTGGAGCTACGAGGAAATGCCTGGCTTGAACCCAAGCTTAGTAAGTCATACTTTGAATATTGAGCTTGGCACGAAACCTATCGTGCAGCCAAGAAGGAATTTTCATCCTGAAATTGAGAAGCAAATCAAGGTGGAAATTGAAAAGTTGTTAGCTGCCGGATTCATTAAGCCAATCAAGCACCCTACGTGGCCAGCAAATATTGCCCCTGTGAAAAAGAAAACTGGTGTGATCAGAATATGCACGGATTACCGAGACCTCAACGGGCTTGCCCAAAGGACGAATTCCCGCTGCCCAACATGGATATCTTAATTGATTTGACCTCGGGCCAAGGCTTGTTGTCATTCATGGATGGGTTTAGTGGCTACAATCAAATCAAAATGTCACCTAAGGATGCTGAGAAGACAGCTTTCCGGACACCTTATGGTAATTTTTATTACACTGTCATGCCGTTTGGTCTCAAGAATGCTGGCGCCACTTACCAACGGGCCATGACAGCAGTATTTCATGACATGATGGGAAAAGAAGTGGAAGACTATGTGGATGATCTTGTAGTGATATCCAAAACCAGATAAGGCCATTGATGAGTCGATTTTATATTATATATTTAACCCTATTCTTAGTATATTTTGGTTAATATTTTGGAAGAATTTTGATACTTTGAATTATATTTCCAATATAGGACTTTCGACTCTCTCTGGAGCAAAACATAATCAAATGGACACATTTTGGAGTAATTCTAGTTGGAGGACGTACGTGAGTCACTTAGCTTAATCGTATCAAAATATCAGACTTTTACACTAAGCGATGATTTCCTGGTGAATAAATGAAGGAGCAGTGTGCAGTGCTGGAATAGGGACGTTTTGGGCTTATATTGCGTTTTTGGAGCTCAAGATGACCTCAGATGGGTTTGAGGCCTTCTGGAGAAGTGTTCGGAATATTTTTATCTTTAAAATGAGCTATCTTGGGCCAGATTTGGAGAGATTTGAGACCAAAATGTGGCTGAGCAGATTGTGGGTAGATTCTCCTAATCCAATTTGGACTTTATTTCCTAGTCTTATTTTATTTTAATTTAGTTTCCTTGTGGGGATTGGGTAGCTAGGTTTTAGGAGGTATTTAAGCTCCTTTTCACATAATTTAAGGGACTTCCTTTTTTATCTCCTTTTAGAACTTCTTTTTGGCTTTTGGAGCAATTGCTCTTCCTTTTTGATCTCCTTTTAGAACTTCTTTTTGGCTTTTGGAGTAATTGCTAGGGTTTTGGATTTTCGCGACTTTCAAGTGTTTTCATTCTTAATCATTTGAATGATATTTTCTTGGATTTCAATGATGATTATGTGTAACTTGAATGATATTTTCTTGGATTTCAATGATGATTATATGTAACTAATTCCTTTTGCTAGGGCGAGGCCGTAAGCCTTACATGAATATGTAGTTTTATTAAT